TTCACGTGGTTTGTAGAGTGGAAGGGGACCTAGGAGTTCATTCTATCCAGCTGTTTCTGGACTCGGCTTTTCATGTGAAATCTTGCTCAGAACACCTGTCTGTGAAATGGATGCAATTAGCTGTGCTCCAGGTATGGCCCTGCCCACTTGACTACACTCTCTCCTTCCTTAAAAGGCCCACGCAGGTCCTTACTTAGGACCCTGGCCTAGTAATTCGGATCAACTCTAATTTAAATTAGAAAGACGTTTCCTTATTTGAACTTGTTACTTCTTAATTATTCCAGGTTCCCCTAGAGCAGCAGCACAGTGTAAATCCACTTTGTCTCTCTCTTTTTAAAAAAAATATATTATTACTGATTTCAGAGAGGAAGAGAGAGGGAGAGATAAAAAACATCAGTGATGAGAGAGAATCATTGATTGGCTGCCTCCTACATGCCCCCTACTGAGGATCGAACCTACAACCCAGGCATGTGCCCTTGACTGGAATCGAACCCGGGACCCTTCAGTCCACAGGCTGATGTTCTATCCACTGAACCAAGCCGGCTAGGGCCACTTTGTCTCTTTTTATAAAACTCCTCCAGATGCTTGGATAGCCAGCATGCTCCCCCCTGCCTACACCTCTTCTCAGGCTAAGTCAGCCTCACTGCCTGGCACCTTGCTGCAGGTGATTTTACAGTTTCAGTCGGGGAATTCTTTAAGTGATGCTACTTCTAGCTTGGACACTGGAGACAGACTTGTATTTTCAGAGAATTTGAAGTTAGTTTTTAATTCCCCTTCTCCGTCCATTATTTTTCACCCCCTCAGTCCAAATATTTCAGCCTCTTAGAGAAAGTAGTTTATTATCAAGGTCAAAAGAGAAAAAAAGAAGTGAAAGATCTGGCCTTCTTAATGCACACACAGCAGCTCTCCACAGCCATCCTGGTGTCTGGGAGCACGCCCGGCAGGGCAGGGCAGGCCTGAGCCGCATCCCCCTGTTCGCATGCCCTGGGCGGATCAGCTTTCACCTTGGAGGCGAGAGAGAGACGCTGGGCTTTCCTGAGCTGCCACTCTGGCATGCACAGGCTGAGCAGCATATTCCTGCATTGCCCAGCATGCTTCCGCCTCATTCATACCAAAGGTGCTGCCTCTTGGGCAGGAACAAGTGATAGAGCCATTTTTGACATTAAAATAGAGTACTTCTGGAAAAGTTGATCATTTGGTTGATTCTGTTAGGTTTGTGAGCATTTTATTCCCTTTGTTTTCACTCTCTTCCCATGTTTTACGTAGAATGGTGCATTCAAATCTAGTTTGAATTTAATTTCATGAGCTATGTATGACACTTAGGAAGTAAGCGTTGATAATAAATATCGAGTTTTCTGCATTTTCTCATATTTTCCATTCTGTGCAACATATGAAAGGGATTAGCTTTCATTCTTTTATATACTGGATATTATGTAGGGCAGACAAGGTAAGAGCTGTTTTCTTTAGGTATTGCTACTGCAGCCAGGATTCTTAACGTGGGACCTGTAAACATGTAGACAATGTGGCATGCCTCCTGGGCTCCTTGAATAGCCTAAAGTTACCTTCCCATTTTTGTGTATAAATTCTTGTTTGCATTTTTCTGGAGATTTTTCAAGGCATCTGAGACCAAAAATGTGGTTACAGATGACTAAATGTAAGTTTCAAGACCCTGCAATTGCACTAGATAGGTTTTCTAATCAGGACATATTATGGTGGTGTTGATTTATTTTGTATTTAAGGAAATTGTCATTAAAAATTTGTTTTAGCCCTAGCCGGTTTGTTTTGCTCTAGCTCAGTGGATAGAGCATCCACCTATGGACTGAAGGGTCCCAGGTTCAATTCCCGTCAAGGGCATGTACCTTGGTTGCAGGCTCAATCCCCCGGCCCTGATTGGGGCGCGTGCGAAGGCAGCCAGTCAGTGTGTCTCTCTCTCATCAATATTTCTCATTCTCTGTCTCTCTCCCCCTTCCCCCCTTCCACTCTTTCTGAAAACCAATGGAAAAATATCCTTAGGTGAGGATTAACAAATATACATATATATATATTTTTTAAACCAAGCTTATAATTGAATGTCATTCTGCCTTGGTTTTGAATCAGGAGCAACCTGGTGACCTTTTATGCATGAAATGCTGCACAAAAAACAAAAGGAAATGGAAGAGCGCCACCTAGAGGCCCTAACAAGTTTCACATATTTGGAATCAGGCCCAGACCTTCTCCTTGCACAGGGGTCTTTAGCTTTAGTAACGTTCTAAATTAAGAACATTGTTTTCCTCAAGTAATTGCAGACCATAAAGGTGTGTGTTGGTGATGTTTATAACCTATTCGGATGCTACAATTGTGGGGTCTATTCTTGCTACTTTGAAACATAATTTTAATAGAAGCTTAATGTTGTAGATAGCATTTCCTCTATTTCTTAGGACTGTAGGAACTTCAGGCTTTAGAATCTACACTGCATTGAATATACTTTTAGTAACAAAGCAAGAACAAATTAATGCCTGCTAAAAATCATTTTAATATCGGAATTTTGCTTTGTTGTATTTTATAAGTTAGACTAAATTAAGAGCAATTTGCCTTAATTACTCTTTGTATTCCTTTCAACATGGTGATATAGAATAGTGTTTGCCAAATGTTGTAGAAATTGTGGGATTGCAGAGTTGAATTTACTCTGAAAAAATAGAGAAGCAGAATTTATATCCATGTAAAGATATCTAACAAGGAAGTCAAGAATAGCTCTCAAGTCCCAGCTCTGCCATTATTTTGCAGTGTTGAGTTTGTTAACTTGTTTCTTCTTTGTTTATAAATGGTGCTGATAATAGTATCTAATTTAAAGTTGTTGTGAGATTAAATGAAATACACTTGGTAATCATAGTACCTTATATATAAAAAGTCTTTTAAAATTAGCAGTAGTTTATTGTTGTTAGTATCACTGGCCAGTTTTGTTTTCAGGACAGTTATAATGAAATAGAAACAGAAAAAATTTTAACCTATATTTTATAGACTTTTATAGTTAAAAAAGCATTTTCACAAGTACAATCTTGTTTGGTTAGAGTAAATAGTCAATATATGTTTATTTGTTCATATATTCAGTAGCTATGTATTCAGCTCCTGTAGGTGTAAATAACCATGTTTGATATTAGAGGTTTGGTACTGGAAACAGCAGTAGGAAAGACATGGGCCTTACATTGTGGTGGGAGAGTTAGATAATAGACAAGTAAATAAATAAATAAGATGATTTCACAAAGAAGTCATTAGTGTGAAGAAAACTAGTGTGACATAATAGATCAGTGATGGCGAACCTTTTGAGCTCGGCGTGTCAGCATTTTGAAAAACCCTAACTTAACTCGGGTGCCGTGTCACATATAGAAATTTTTTGATATTTGCAACCATAGTAAAACAAAGATTTATATTTTTGATATTTATTTTATATATTTAAATGCCATTTAACAAAGAAAAATCAACCAAAAAAATGAGTTCACGTGTCACCTCTGACACGCGTGTCATAGGTTCGCCATCACTGTAATAGTGACTAGAGGCCTAGTTTAGGTAGCCAGGGAAGAGCTTCTGAGCAAGTGACATTTAAGCTCTTACCCAAATGACAAGGAGCCAACCATGTAAAGGTCAGAGGAGCAGCCATTGCAGCTGAGGGAAGCAGCACGTGCAGAGGCCTTCGGTGGAGAATGTTAAGCATGCGCACAGACTAGGAAGCATGCCAGTGCAGCTGGACGGAGTTCTGTGCCCCAGTAGGGAGATGGCAGGGGATGAAGTCAGAGACGGAGGCTCAAGACTGTAGGCCCAGGACTTTGTAGTTTATTCTGAGGGTTATGGGAAGAGTTTGGGGAATTGCAGGCTAGGTAGTAATGTGCCCAGATTTGTGTTTTAGAAATAGCCTCTTTGCTTCTTTATGGAGCAAGAATGGAAGCAGGAAAACCATATAGGAAACTTTTGCAATAGTCTAAGTGAGAGATGATGGTGTCTTGGATGAAGATGTTGAAAGAATGTTTCAGAAGTTTGGGTCCTGCCCACAGCTCTGTAGTACAGAAGCAGTATGGTTTGAAATCTGACTTACCATGTGAGCCTGGACAAGTTTATTAACTTCTCTGTGCCAGATTTTTACCATCTCTGAAATGAGAATGACTATAGTACCTTCCTCCTAGGATTGCTATCAGGATTAAATGAGAAAATCATAATTGTAAACTGCTCAGAAGTGTTAACACTGTTTTTATCATCATCACCATCACCACCTTTATCACAGGCACTACTCCCACATCATCCTCAACACCCTCAACTTATGGGTGAGAAAACTTAGAGGATGGTTTTGAAATAAAAATATAAGCTTCTTGATTTTGAATCTATTATTCTTTCAGCAATATGTTATGTAGTCTGAGCTCCCAGAGCGAAATAACTATTGATTTGAATCTATAGCTCAGAGTCCAGTTGTATGCACCTGTGAATGTTTAAACACCATTGAGAAGATTACAAAGTTCTCAGAGAGTCCTGGTGTGTGCATCAGATGCGTGCCGCTCTCTCCCATACTTGAACCATTAGAAAGTTCAGTTCCTGAGTTTGAAGAGAGGTTTGGTCTCCTAAAGTCAGGGCATGAGTGTGCACATAACAATACATGTAGGAGAAAAGAACTCGCCATTCTGAGGACCTTATACTAGACTGAATCTCTTTTGAGGACATTCATCCCCTCATTAATTGTGTTAAATGGGGCCATACATAATATAAATAAATGAGATCTATGGATCATCCTGAGACTTTTTCTAACCAGACTTTTAGTGAGGGTATTAACCAGCCTACCAGATTTGAATTTCTCTTTTCTCCACCTCTTTCCACCTTTGCCAGTCCCTTCTGGAGTAAGCAATGACATAGGTAAGGATCAAGGAGCAAGAGAGACAAATGAGAAACAAGGAACTTGAAAATCTCCCTGCTCACCTTGCCTCTCTGGGGGCACCACTGGTACCTCCCTCACGGAGTTAAACACAGGCTCTTTGTTGCAGAGTGTGAGCACTTGATCCGCCACATGCTGGTGTTGGACCCGAGTAAGCGCCTCTCAATGGAGCAGATATGCAAACACAAGTGGATGAAGTTAGGGGACAACGACCCCAACTTTGACAGGGTGAGTGAGCACCACTTGCCTTAGGGAACTCTTCTCAGAACTACTGAAACCTCTTTTGCATGAGATTGTAAACAGGCCAGGACATGAAAAGGCAGCCCTGGCACAAACTATTGGGTAATAATCAAGCAAGGAGTGAAAGTAGGGGTTTTAAACCAGCAGCTGATGGAGAACAGTGAGACCAGTTCTGTACTACTTACCCCCAAGTCACAGTCTCTTGGCTTTTGAGACAGTACAGCCCACAGTTCTGCAGCGTACCCACCATGGGGACGTCTCTCCCTCTTGCCTAGTGTGCTAGTTCAGTGGCTCCTGTAGCATACCTTTATTTAAACCATTGTGGCCATCCCAGGTACCCCAGAGTTGCTCATGAAAATGAGGATCTTGTCTTCTCACAGCTACCCTGGGGCTTTATTGCTTGGGCTTTGTCTGAAGCCAAAAATATCCCAAGCTAGGGGCCTGAAACAGCTTGCTGTGGGTGACATGCATATGTGATATGTCATCTTAGCATAGCTAATTTGGGGTTTGATGGCTTACCTTTTTTTTAATGTTACAGTTAATAGCTGAATGCCGACAGATAAAAGAAGAAAGACAGGTAGACGTTTTGAATGAGGATGTCCTGTTGGCCATGGAGGACATTGGACTGGACAGAGAGCGGACACTACAGGTATCTCTAAAGGAATGGAGAGCAAAGGGAGGTGTGGCCATACTCCCTTGGGCTGCCTTTTTAAATGTTTTCTCCTTCTTGGGAACTTGGGTCTTTTTTATTTAAATAATTTTTTAAATTTTTCAATTATAGTTGATATACATTATATTAGTTACAGGTGTACAGGATAGAGATAAGACATTTATATAACTTACGAAGTGATTACTCCAGTAAGTCTAATACCCGTCTGATACCATTACAGTGTTGTTGACTATCTACCCTATGCTGTGCTGTGCATCTCCATGACTATTTTATAACAACCAATTTGTACTCCTTAATCCCATCCTTTTCACCCACCCCTCCCATCTGGTGACCAGCAGAAACTTGATCTTTTTGTTTCCTTCCCCTTCTTCCTCTGCCCCTCTCTGGGTCTTGGAACAGAGATGCTTTGGTCTGGTAATGTTACTATTGAGAGAGTTTGGTCATTGACATGCCGTTTCACCAGGGTTTTTACTCTTTCCTTTCTCTCTTGATAGTCATTAAGCACAGATGCCTATGATCACTATAGTGCAATCTACCATCTGCTGTGCGATCGACATAAGAGACATAAAACCCTGCATGTCGGAGGACCTCCCAGCATGCCCCGAGCCATGGCCTTTCAAGCACCAGTCAGTATCCAGGTGGGCAGTGATTCCTGTGACCTGATTCAGGACAAGTAACATTTGGGGATGGGGCGGAGGGTGGTTAGCCACTGCTCAGGAATTCTTAAGTCCAGAGATCAAGCAAAGATTGGAACCTTTCTTAGAGAGGATGGAAGGGTCTTTATGTACTTGAGGTAGACAACTCTAGTTGCAGGGTGTGGTTGTTTTTTTTTTGTTTTTAAGAAGCAGCAAATCATTGAGACTGTTGTTTCTAAAAAAACAAAAAGCAAAAACAGAAACACACAACTCTCTTAATATGGCTTCTAAGGAACCAAAGACTCAGAGGTAGAAACATAGACCTTAGCAATCAAGAATACTTTGAGCCCTGGCTGGGTGACTCAGTTGGTAGGAGCGTCATCCAAAAGGTTGTGAGTTCGATTCCTAGTCAGGGCACATACCTAGTTTGCGGGTTTGATCCCTGGTCTGGGGCGTGTATGGGCGGCAACCGATGGATATTTCTCTCTCACATGTTTCTCTCTTTCTTCCTCTCTCCTTAAAATCAATAAAAACATATCCTCAGGTGAGGATTAAAAATAAAAAGAACACTTTGAAAGGCTATCATTTCCCTCTAGTGTTTATAGTATGTGTGTATCTGTATGTACTTCTCTCCAGGCGGAGCAGGCGGGTACCACTATGAACATCAGCGTTCCGCAGGTGCAGCTGATCAACCCAGAGAACCAGATTGTGGAGGCAAGTGGCGATCTCTGATCGTTGTCAGTTGAAATCTTTCCCATATTCTTGCTTCCTTGCCTTACTTTTATTTCTAATTACTTCTCATGTCTAATTCAGTTGTGTTTTCCTTCACCTCAGCCGGATGGGACGGTGAACTTGGACAGTGATGAGGGTGAAGAGCCTTCCCCTGAAGCATTGGTTCGCTATTTGTCAATGAGGAGGCACACAGTGGGTGTGGCTGACCCCCGGTGAGTGTCTGAGCCCTAATTAACCTCAGGGCCAAGAAGTCCCACCTGACTGAGTTCCCACCAGTGCCTTTTTCCTACTTCATTGTATCTCCCAGATGAAAACTAATCCGGTGGCCAAGACCTGTTTGTAACCCAGCTCAGGGTCCCCGGTAGACCAGATTTGATTTGCTAAAAATATTACAGAGCTGCCTCTAGGACAGTGGTTCTCAACCTTCTGGCTCTTTAAATACAGTTCCTCATGTTGTGACCCAACCATAAAATTATTTTCGTTGCTACTTCATAACTGTAATGTTGCTACTGTTATGAATCGTAATGTAAATATCTGATATGCCGGATGGTCTTAGGCGACCCCTGTGAAAGGGTTGTTCGACCGCCAAAGGGGTCTCGACCCACAGGTTGAGAACCGCTGCCCTAGTGGATGGTGGGCCAGTAGCCACCATCATGCCAATGAATCGCAACATTGTGGTGAAGAGTATGATAGTCTCTGTGTCTGCAAAGGTTGAGGTCTTCTGATCTAAGTCACGTGAAAGTGCCTCTCACAGTTCGTCCGACAGCTTCGAGAGATGGTCGCTACGTGTCCTAATGCAAGACTCATCTTGGAAATGAGGACAAAGGATATGGTGTGATTTATCTGTGTTACAAATTAAATTAAGGAAACAAAAATCAAAAACCACACTGAATAAGTACCAGTTATCCAAAGTGTTTTCCCAAAATAGTCCTTCCATATGTCCCTGATGCCCTCCCACCTGGGAGATGTCCTAAAGGCTGGCTCTCTCCTTTTTTGTTCTACATTTGAAGACTCAACATTAAAAATACCCTCTCATCTTTTCTGGATATTCTCTCTACTGAGTAGAGAAGAGAAGGTTGTGTCAGAGAGTTCTCTTGAGAGCTCAACTAGGTGTCAAGCTAGTTGTTTTGTTTTTTTTGTTTGTTTTGTTTTATAAATACCTCTTTTCTCTGAGTGATTTCCAGAAAAAGATCCCCAGGCCTGCTGATCGGCTTGCTTTAGATTTCTCATTCTGGGCCTACATTCACACAGGCAGCAGGGGAACATTCTGGCTCCAAAGGCTGTGTCCGCAGTGTCGCCCTGCTAGTGGAAAGACCTCTTGGTTTACAGTGTGCTGTGAGTCCCACTGCAGGAGCATCACAGCCTTGCACATCGCGGCGTGTCTGTGCTGCCAGCACTGACGGGAGGAATTGCCTTCTTTCCCTGGTGAATGAGTTGCTATTCCAGGCAGCCAGGTTTTAGTGGGTGGCCTGTGTCCTCCAGAAATGTGCTGTTCACCTCCAGACTGTGCAGGCCCGAGCTGGACCAGTGCCAGTATTTCCTCAGGGCTCAGAGCTGTTGGTTTCACATGAGTGGTCAATAAAGAATAGCAGTCCCCAGTTCCAAACAGTAAAGTGGCAGGCAGCCAGGTTCCACACATTGGACTTCTTGCTTTGGGATCTTAGAGAGAAATACAAATTTGCAGGGAAAGTGGAAAAATATATAATAAATTATACTGAACTTATCCGTTTCATCAGTTTGGGGATATAACACTTTTGAGTAAGAATATTAACCAGAAAAGATGGCGGCATAGGTAAACACCAGTATTCACCACCTCCCACAACCACATCAAAATTATAACTAAAAGACAACAGCCATCATTCAAACCAGCTGAATGGAAGTCCTACAACTAGAGAAGTAAAGAAGAAAGCACATCACGGCTGCTGGGAGGGGCAGAGGTGCCGGACAGGCTGTGGCCTTTTTTAATTGGGAGAGGTCTCCAAGGCCTCCTGTAAGAAGCAGGGGGTCCCAGCCCCACACCAAACCCCCAACCCAGGGCTCCAGAGCTGGGCAGAGAAGTCCCCCTAACTTTGGGCTGTAAAAACCAGCCAGGATGGTGGTTGAGTTAACACAGAGGCTGCTGGAGACCCAGCAGTTCCTCTTAAAGAGCCTTTGTACTGACTTACAAGGTCCTGTTTCCTCTGAGCTCCAGCACCAGGTGGCAGCTTTGGGGGAATCCAGGGACATAGGAGGAGGAATTGGACTGTCTGGTATTGGGTCAGGAACTGGCAGGAGGCTTTCTCCCAGACCAGGGTGCTCTCAGGGGTCATTGCTGCTATGCTGGGACCTCCCCCGTTACAGAGCTAATGAGCAGCCATATCTCAGTTTCCATCATCATGGCCGACACTGTTCACTCCACCCTGGTGATTCCTAAGACCCCTCCCCATCCAATTTGCAGCCCTACCCAAGCTTTTCAGCAGCTTTTCCACATGAATGGCCTGTCCTGGCTCAAACTTTGCTAAAATCTCTCAAAAAAAAAGCAGCAACTGGTGTCATTGTGCCCCATATCTATCAGTAAGAGACCCAAGACCTGGCACTATCACCAGCCTGCCTTCCTTCACAGCTGGCCCTTACCTGGGCACCTCCAAACCCAATACAAATAGGAAAACTCTGCAGATCCCTCTGTAGCTCCTGCCGGGTGGCCCAAGCAGTGGCTGACTTTGCACCTCCCGGGAGGCCCCAGAGCCAGTGCACCCTGTGGACAGCTTCAGACCATAGCAGATTACAACTCTACGCATCCACAAGCCACACACTCAAGGGGTTGACTCAGTGAGCACCAAGCCCCACTGAAGCAAGTCCTGTTCCACAGGGTGTCTCCTGCACAGCAGCTCTTCCACTGTAGTCACAGCTGGTCCTCACAGCTGATTGGCCTGGAGGTCAGTTCCTCTCAGTGCTCAACTACAATAAGACTGTGCACACAGCCCACACAGGGTGCACCTAGAGTGCCCAGCTCAGGTGACTGGGTAGGCTGAGCCATTGGGCCCTAGAGAACACCTACTACACAAGGCCACTCTACCAATTCCAGGAGACATAACAGCTCTACCCAATACAGTGGTTCTCAACCTTGGCTGCACATTAGAATCACCTGGGAATTTTTTTAAAATCCTAATTTCTAGGCCTCATCCTCCGGAAATTCTGTTTCTTTGTTATGGGGTGGGGCCACAAATCTCAGAGGGAAGGGTTGAGGGGGGTGTGGGAAGAGGTTAATCGAAGATCTTATATGCATATGTGCGTTACCTATGGACACAGACAATAGGGTGGTTAAGGCCTGGGACAGAGCAGGAACCAGGTAGAAGGGGTTCACTGGGGGGGATAAAAGAAAGGTATCTGCCATACTCTTAATAAAGATATTTTAAAAACAAAAAACCTTAAAAGAATATTAACCAGACTTCTCTGTCATCCTGTTTCTTTTAGCATGGAAGTTATGGACGATCTGCAGAAGCTCCTACCTGGCTTTCCTGGAGTCAACCCGCAGGCTCCATTCCTTCAGGTGGCCCCTAACATGAACTTCATGCACAACCTGTTGCCCACGCAAAATTTGCAACCAACTGGGCAGCTTGAGTACAAGGTACCTGGATACGGGAGAGGGCTTGCCCAAAAGAAACACATTTCAACTTCTTTAAGAGACTGAGAGACCTTCCAGGATTTAAGGGTGTCTTTGTAGAGAAAGAAAGCATCTGGGTGTGAGGGAAGATTTCTCTAGTCTCCATCACAACCAAGGGTCCTTAACGTCACTTCTTTTCCTCTCCTCCTCTCCCCCTGCCTCATCCACCTGTCCTTCCCACTCTACTCCCGACAGGAGCAGTCCCTGTTACAGCCGCCTCCCCTCCAGCTGCTAAATGGAATGGGTCCCCTTGGCCGACGGGCTTCAGATGGAGGAGCCAACATCCAACTACATGCCCAGCAGCTGCTGAAGCGCCCACGGGGACCCTCCCCACTTGTCACCATGACACCAGTGAGTAGCAGCACAGAGCCCAGCTTACTCTCTCCGAGATTTTTGATAAAGAGGTTGTGAGCATAGGGTGGGAAAAAGAGGCTTTCCAACCTAAATGTCTGAATTTCCTCTTTCTCTAAACTTACGGTGTTCAATGTAATCACATTTTCCTCAGGCTAGTAGAATTTTCCAGTCTTATTTTTTGGCTAACTTCTTTTCTTAACCAAATAATTTCTACACTGAAGCCTGCTCCCAGAGAGCCTCATCCTCACGGACCACTTACACCTAGTTAAGTGCGTCTGCCACCCCTCAGTTTGGAGGCGCCTTCCCACAGGTAACTCCTCTCGGCCAGAGGGCAGCACATGCTAACCGTTTTCTCTGTAATAAATTGCTCTTTAGGTTGGTTTCCAATATTACCTTCTATGCACCATTTCTCCTTTGATTAGCACTGCCTTGCCTTTTGGGTTTAGCACTTGATTGGCTTTCCCAAGGTCTAGCCTAGTCAGTTGGCATCCCTCAGTCCCATCTCTTGTATATGACGGTTACATTAAAAGATTGTTACCCCCACCCCTCGCCCTGGGTTGTTTATTTCCAGTTACTTTCCTCTCCTGGGTAAATTCATTCATTCATTCATTCATTCATTCATTCATTTGTTCATTCAATCTCGTAGTACCATAAGATTGGATATTTATTATATCCATAACTCTTTAAAATATTACCTTCTATTTTTAAGATTTTTAAAATCTTGCTCAATTTCTGTACTTACCTTGTCATGGATTAGTCCCACAAGTTTGTGGCTTGGCACAGGTCTGGAAAAGGAAAGAATCATGTTTACAGTTCCTGGCCTCGCTGAACCACTGGAATAGTGCAAGGCCGCATGTGATTAAGGGCTGGGGTGAGTCCCAGGGACTGATAAGTGGCAGATGCATCGGAGAGAGCAGGGTCAGGGAGGCTGTGAGGGCCAGGCGGACAGCTTTGAGGGAGGTGGACGGACTTGCTCTGCCCATTGGAGCTGTTCTTGCAAAGATCAGTAACAAACTTTTGTTGGTAAATCCAGTGGACAGTTTTAACTTTTGTCTTTCTGGACCTCCCAACTGTGTTAGTCACTGTTGACCATTTTCTTTTTGAAATATTTTCTTTGGTTCTTTTCAGTTTTCCTTTGTGCTTGTTCCTTGAAATTGGTGAAACCCCGGCTTTTATCTTAGGTTCTATTTCCATTTCTTTTTACATACCCTGTCTGGGTGGCCTTGTCCACTCCCATAATTTTTGTTACCAGGTGCTTCTGCAGTCCCGCATGCTCTTGTGGATGCGTCTGCATAGATATACATGCCTGCCTACTGCACATATTTAGTTGGTGTCCCACAGACACTCACAGTTTTAGTCCAGCATGTCCCCAAACGACCTTGGCCTGCCCATTAAACCTGTGTCTCGTCCTGAGTGACCGTGGAAACACTGTCATCTCCTGATTAGACAGGCCAGGAATGTGGGCTTTATCTTTAAGTCTTCCTCTCCCTCATTTCCCATATCAAATTATTTCCCAGTGCCTGTAAGGTAAATGCCTTATTTCTGTCCATTTCACTGCCCTTCCTTAAACCACTGTCATCCTTGGCCTAAATTAATACAGTGGCCTCCTAACTGGCTTGCCACCACCACTTTTCACTCTGCGGCTAACGTGCACGAGCTTTCTAAAATACAGATCTTAGAACATCATGTCCCTCCTTGAAATCCTTCAGTGGGTTACCACTGCACCTCCTCAAAATAAAGTTTTAATGTGGTATGCAACGCCAGGAATCCCTGGCCACGGCGCTCCTCTCCTGCACCCCCATAGCCGCCACCTTCTCAGTCCTGTTACTCCAAGCCTTATAAACTTGTAAGAAGGGACCTGGAAACCCTAGAAGCATTCAAACAATAGAATTACTCCAAAGATTTTTTGTTTTGGTTTATAATTATCCATTTCATAAAATGCTCCTACTTTAAGTATGATTTTTGCTCTAGTGCCTGAGGCCTGGTGACTATGTGAGCCCTGTGCATAGCTGTCAAGAATGCATGGTGTCCAGTCCATAGCAGTGGGGAGAGCCACAGGAATGCATGCTGTGGAGGCTCTCATTTCACATACAGTGGTGGTGGGTCACAGCTACTTAAAGCGTGGAATCGCGGCCCTGGCCAAGTCGCTCAGTTGGTGGGAACGTCTTTCCGTGCACTAAAAGGTTACAGGTTCAATTCCCAGTCAGAGCGCATACCTAGGTTGTGAGTTTGATCCCTGTTGAGGCATGTATGGGAGGCAACTGATCAATCAATGTTTCTCTCTCTCTCTCAAATCAATAAGAACATATCCTTATATGAAGATTTTTTTAAAGAAAGCATTGAATTGCAACTGCACAATTACATTATGTACTAAAATGTACTTTTAAAAGACCCTCATGCCTTTCTGGAGTTAAAGACACCTAAACTCTGGAAATAGCAGAATACGCACCCTAGGTCACCTCTTAGCCAGGTACACAGCTTCTGCTGTATCCTCAGGTTCCCAAGCACCCGCAGGCTTTCTCCTTTCTCTGAACCTAGGACCTCAAAGGCTTGTGACTCCTTCCCCCTTTCCTTGGCTCCTGTTCACTTGTCAGGTCTCAGGTGAATGTCACCTCCTCCAAGACACCTTCCTCCGCTCCCAAGTACCCCAGGGAGGACTTGGTCCTGCTGTTTTGAAATTGTCTGTGTACTTGTCTCTGTCCTGCACTAGACTGTAAAGTGAGGGCCAGAACTACATTTTATCCTGGAACGTAGTAGGCATTCTGTTTGTTGGTTAAATAAATCAATGAATGAAGATGAATTAGAGGAAGAAATCCAAAGTAAAATCACCTGAACAAGGTGAAAATGGAAAAATAGAAAGGTATCTGAAAGTTGTGTGTAGCCCAGGGGTCCTATGAAACGTTGTGTGAGTAAGAAAACGAATGGAAGACCACTCCCTAGGCAGTTTCCGGAATGAGAGCTATTGAGAAGCAGCAGAGCCTGAGCCTGTCCTTTCTGTCTCTGTCAGGCAGTGCCAGCAGTTACCCCTGTGGACGAGGAGAGCTCGGACGGGGAGCCCGATCAGGAAGCTGTGCAGAGGTAATGTGGCGTCTGGCAGGCTCACCTGCAACCAGCGAAAGGTCGCCTCTGCCCAAGGAGGGTACAGTGTAGCTTCAGCATTTGTGTGGTCTCTGCTCAAGCCAGGTGGCATGTTCCTCCCACCTAGAAGGAACAGAAGACTCCCCAGAAAATTTCATTTCTGTAAACGCCATTGGAAGTCCCGAGTGACAGCAAGAACCATAAGAACGCTCCTCTCCTCCCTCCGACCTTCCTTGTCACCTGCCTTCATATTGCAGCTCATAGTGTTCACAAGGCACTACGCCTGCTCCTACCTGCCCTGGACCGTTTACCGAACAGGAATCGGAGATTTGGTATGATAGTGATCCTAGCTAGGCTAGCCATGGACCTCTGGCCTGGACTCCTCCTTTCTGGGAGAATGAATACCTCTGGTACTGTTCGCTTGAAAAGAATATGCGGTTCGGGCCAGTGACAGATGCAAACATGTATGGTTTGCAGAACCTTGTTGAGCGATGCCTAATCCACAGAAAACAGCAGTGACCATCAGGCACACTGTGCTGTTCATTTACCTCAGTTCCATTAGCCATGGCCCTCAGCTCCACCCATGCCCCCTTGTGGGAGTTGTCATTCTTATTTTCTGGGGAGCGGGGTTTGACCAGAATTCAGCATGTATTTTCCCAGAAATACAGGTGTTCCTCAAGATTATATGTTTTGCCCTTGAGGGAAGTTGAAAATAAAATAGTTTTCATGGGCTCTTGGGGGAACTTTAGGTGTCTTTATCAAATGGATATTAAACCACTAATGGCTTACTCTTTTGCAAGTTTACATACCATTAATTATAGTCTGTTAACTGTTTTATCTTAAGTGGGCGAAGTAGTTAGGAATGAAACAAGAGCACTTTTTAAGAGCCTGATGGTTGCTGGCTCCTGAGAGTGCGGTTCTAACAGAAGCCCGTCCCTGTGGAGGGAGAGGAGAACAGGGGTGTTGGCAAGCGGGTCAGCTCCTCCCACAGCTTAGCCAGTAGAAGGACAGTTGTAACTTTTTTCCCTCTTGATTTTGCTGTTTCTGTAGTTTGCTGATAACAGTATGTGAAATTGTAAATGGGTCCTGCTGGTGTGGTAAGAGAAACTAGGAAACGTAACTGCCTGGCTGCTTTAATTAGACGGCAGTGTTTCATTTTATGTCTTCCTCTTGGACTCACTTCCTTCTGCCCCACCTTTTTTTCTTCTTTAGACCAACATTTAAAGGATAATATGCCCGTTTGTTTTGAGACAAAAAGGAATAATGCTTAACCAGATGAAGGGGACCAGTATCTTCAGATTAAAGGCAGCAGCTCGTCAACTCTTCCGCTTTTGAAACTTCTGTTTTCTTGTCTTGCATTTTTCCCACAAAATGAATTCTAAGCATTTCTTGTGGTTTCACTTCTTGTCCTCTAGAGAGGTTGATTCCCAGGGAACAATATCAGTCTCTTCTCTGATGGCTGGCATACAGTCTGGGGCCCGGGGAAGGGAGGTTTGAGTTTGCTCTCCCTGCATAGAAAGCTATGTTTTCTGAGACTTAGAGTGAGGACCGGCTCAAAACCTGCGGACCAGGGGTCGGAGACATGGGGACCTTCTGAATATCTCCCTTGGCTCATCTCTAGGAACGGTCCTCAGTGCTTATTTTCTCTTATATTTTTTGAAACTTGGAGGGGAAAAGAAGAATAAAATTAATAAGTAGGGGAAAGATTCTTCTGTGGAGTGGAAGGAAAATCATTCTTCTCTATAGCTGCCTCTGCTCACCTCTTCCATGGCTGCTCGCAGGCCCCAGGTCCGCCACGCCAGCGGTCAGCAGCTTCTGCTGGCGGTGGACGTGCCTCACTCCTCCCGCTGGGATCTGTTCGCCGTGGAGCCCTTTCAGAGCTCCGGCACGATTCCACCCGGAGTGCTTTACATTAACTTCTGATGCTTCTTGCTGAGGAATAGTCCTGGCTGTTTTTTTTACTATGAAATGTGCTCCTGCTTGTTGCAGGTACTTGGCAAATAGGTCCAAAAGGCATACACTGGCCATGACCAACCCTACGGCCGAAATCCCACCGGACCTACAACGGCAGCTAGGACAGCAGCCTTTCCGTCCCCGGGTCTGGCCCCCTCACCTGGTACCTGATCAGCATCGGTGAGTAGCCACATGAGCTATCTGAGCTCCTTGAGGCTCATCGGACAGGCACCCTTCTGGCTAGTGTTGGTGACTGGCATCAAGGTTTTAAATAGCATCCTGAACTACGTCTTCTCGGCTCCGTGCACTAAGCAGTGCACAGAGCAACATAGGATTCTTCTTTCCCATTGCCTCGTAGGCACGTGTATTGTCTGCATTGATTCTTGTGATTCTAGATGTTGACTCACAGATGAAATTGAACTTGAAACCTGCAAGAAGGTGAAGCTCTCAGAGGGCCACCTGGAAATAAGAGGATGTGTAGCCATATTAATAGACTTGACCTTTAATAACACATTGCCCTCAAAAGAATGAGCATTTCTTACCATGTTACCACTGAGCAGTGAGCCAGGATATGGAGGAGGACACGGCCCTTTGTGAGTGGTAGCGCAGGCACTACATCCTCTTCAAGCAGTCATTCAGGCAGTATTCTGATGGCAAGGTCTTTACTGAGGCTCTGTCACATGGATAGCTCATTCTCTTGAAAAAATAAAAAGAAACTTAACCATAGCTGGCCAAGAAAACTTGACAAAATTGAATCCAAGTAAGCCTGCAAGCAAGAGGAATGGCACTTGGCTAGATTAGGGTGATTGTCTTCTGTGAATACCTTGATGGCCAAAAACCTTAGCTGAGAACATACCCAAACTCATGGATCACACTCTCAAAGCCACCCTAAATTCCTAGAACTTATTTTATTATCATCTTTTTGAGAGGACAGTGAAAAGCATTCTTACTTGGGAAGGTTGAAAAGCAGTCAGATTTCAAGGAAATTAAGTTTATAACTGTGCTGCTATTACATCTTGCAGCCAGTTCACACTGGCAAGCTTGACAGTGTTTTCGTTGTGACTAGTTCCCCATTGGGCATTGATGTAATCAGCAGAGACAGGTGAACTCTGAGCAGGCTGAGACATGACGAGTGCCACGTTGGAACTCTGAAAGAAGGGAGATAAGCTTTTGCAAATGACCGCGGATAGCTTAGTAAAAAAATAGTCTGTTAGGAGTAGCAGGAATGATGATTCTCAAAAGAAACTCCTATGACACAGGAAGTATTTTCCTAAGGAAAATCTCTCAGGACCTACCTTGTACTTGAGTGATTGTTAGAGAGCTGCCTTTCCACCCCGTAAATTTCCTACGATTTCTTCATGACCCTGAGCTCCACACTTACCTAACAGACCCTCCACCTGTGTTTCTCCTTGTTTCTGTCTTCCCCTCCTCCCTACCTGACAATGAATTCTGCAGCCTCATCGGGGTCTGTTGTTTAGCTGAGCCCTTTGGCACCCTTGTTTACTTCAAAGTGCTCCTCTGGAGGTATTGTTATCAGAGAAACATGAAGATTGGCACGCCTCCCTAGTCACCTTTACCACAGACTGGGTCCTGTTTGCTTTTGTTATAAAGGAGGACCACATAGGCCTCCCCTGCTGGGATCTGCCTGCCTGCCGTCAGGTTTCCTGTGGTCAAGCCAGTCTGAGTTGAAATGAATGCTTTATGAGTGGCAGATTGTGTGAGGTGGGACATTTATGCAAACTCAGCATGCCTTGATGGGGATACTGTGAAAATATGGCAACACAAGAGACTGAAATTAGTCTTCAGGGGGAAATGGGAACTTTTCAAGGGCATAAAACACTTAGAATGGGTGGCCTAGATAGTTATTGAATTTCCCTTATTCTTCTGGAGAAAATCACGAACAGCATCTTTTTCCTCTGGGGGATAATAGATGAAAAGCCACATTGAGACGAAAGAGGAGTCTGATCGACCTTTTTAACTTGAAAGTGTGTAATTTAGAATTTTTTAAGTTTCTGAGTGTAATTCTTTTTAAAAACCTGGCACAAGCTGGATTTCATGCAGGGGGTGAACCAGTCCCGGTTTGGAAGTATAGTGGGAACGGAGCCTGAGGGAAGCGGTGTGGGTTTGAATGGGATTCCTGATCAAAACAGCGCCGTTGGTCCTATTCGTGCTTCCAAGTGAGCAGCACAGCCAGACTGCTTCCCTGGCACCTCTGCTGGGCTGACCTGCTGGTCGGTGTCCACAGCCTGCGCTTCTGGAAGAGCCAGGAGCCGCCTGGCCCTGGGAGGTGGCTTCGATGGAGAGAACGGGGATTGTGCAGATGGACTGAATTGAAGAACACAGCTTTCTGAGTGAATCAGAAATGTGTCCATTGTCACTAATATTGAAAGCGTAAGAGAAACATTTTAGGAGGACATAGTATTGGCTTGCTTTAACTCCAAACACCTGAAGTAGAAACAGAACTGGGAAGGATGGAGGGAATGCCCCTGAACACAGCCTTCAGGATTGCCGTTTCCAGAGTGTGTCTGCCCAAAGCCTTTGTCTCTGTGTTACTGAAACAAACATCCATGCGGCTCGTTTCATTAGCGCACTGCTGTGCAGGCTTCAGGCAGAGTCCGAAACAGAAGTCATCACTAGAAGGGGGTCAAGGGCGTTCACCTGCTGCCGGAACTCTTGACCTCTCTGCACAGTCACGGGACTCCTCCCCGTCCCTGTGGCACTGCATTTGAACTTGCTTGTTAACCTGCTTCCTTAGCCTGGGTTCTGCTTCAGTCCAGAATGAGTACCTGGGCAGGTGGTGCCTCATTTCACCCCGAGTTCACTGTGCTGCCATCCCTGCCCTGGACATGAACCCTAACCCTTCCGTGGCTGTTGGAATGCTGCTTGGGCAGTCTTTTATCTGCTTCCCCACAAACATCTCTTTCTGGTTCAGTAACAGGTACAGGTGTTAGCCTCTAGCCCTGGTGCTGTCTCAGGCATTCCTTATCAATAGCTGTTCTTCCTGTACGGTTCTGACTGTGCTCTGATGGGTCAGTGGATTTTGAAGGTAATCCACACGGGTGCTCTTTCCTTAGGAGGCGGGAGGTGCGGTTGCTCTGAGCAGTGCGTTTCACAGTAACTAGCCTTGTGTGCGCTGGCCAGGCATGTGCATCCTTCAGGGCCACATTCCTTAAAAATGTGCTGTTTCCATCTGGGGAGACGTCAAAGCTGCCCCCATTTTCTAGCACAGAACCTATGGTTTCCAGGCCTGACCGTGGACCACAAAGCTGACTGTAGTTTCCTTCCTTACTGCTCAGGGGCAGCTTTGCGTCACTCAGGTTTCTAAAGGCACTAGATAGAGATAGGATGCTAAACCAGAAGAGTTCCTCGCAGCTTGGCCTTCGGGATCACTCGCAGCTCTTCTCTCCTTCCTGGCGTAGTGATAAGAACTGGGTGTGTTTGATCCCAGGATAGGGCCTCCCCTCTGGCAGTGACGCCAGCCTATGGTAAGTGGGAACGGAAGACGGACCTGGACCCTGGGAAAGGGAACAGGCTGGGGCCCACATGGCAGCATCATCTTGGTGCTCGTCGTGGGAACACATCCCCAGGTGATTTGCTCAGAACCCAGGTCCTAGCCTTGACCTTCTCTTCCCCTGTATTCAGCTCTACCTACAAGGACTCCAACACCCTGCACCTCCCTACGGAGCGGTTCTCCCCTGTGCGCCGGTTCTCAGACGGGGCTGCCAGCATCCAGGCCTTTAAAGCCCACCTGGAAAAAATGGGCAACAACAGCAGCATCAAACAGTTGCAGCAGGTAATGGAGAGATGTGGACATCGCTGGAGAAGCATGGCAGCAGAGACCGCTTCTGCCCTCCTGTCAGCAGTACTGCCGCTGGCTAGGTCCAGAGCCATAGCCTCCTGCTCTTTGCTTGCTTGTTAGGTACAGCTTTCCCCAGCATCAGCCTCGCTTGCCCCATGAAGGGACTGTCTGCCCCTCCTGTCCTGTAGTTCACTGGAGAGGACTTTATTCTGGGCTTGGGTTTCAGTGGGAAGCACCAGGGAAAGTACTTGGAAGCAGCCCTGGCATTCCTCTTGGAATGGGCACTGGGTCTTGTGGGAGCTTGCTTGGCATGGCTGCCACCTGGCACAATCTCCAGTTGGTACAGAATGGTGCTCTCAGAGGAAGGAAGGCGTCCACAGGCCAGTTTCCTTTCTGCCTTCTCATGACCACACTTTGAGTGGCTTATTCTTTGTACACAGATTTCACACTGGACACTTCCACTTGTGCACAGCCCATCCTTGGTGTTTGCATTGGTTCATGCAGAGCAGGGTGTGAATATATACACATTGAGTACATAAATACCTATGGGATGGGGTGAGCGCTCAAGGGCACTGTTCTCGCCTGGCTCTTTCTGCTGTGAGATCTTTGGGCAGATGTGCACCTGCTCACGTCACTGCCTGGGGTGGGTCTGGCTACATCCCGCCCATATAAACTGCTTTCCCTTCAGGAGTGTGAGCAGCTGCGGAAGCTGTATGGGGGGCAGATTGATGAGAGAGCCCTGGAGAAGACCCAGCAGCAGCACATGCTGTACCAGCAGGAGCAGCACCACCAGATTCTCCAGCAGCAGATTCAAGTAGGTCTCCCTCCACTCTCCCAGCGGGTTTGGAGTGTGCTCTCAGGATGACTGGTTTGCCTGTGAATTTTGGAGGAGATCATGCAGGGCAGAATGGAGTTGAGTTCTGTTTATGGTTGGCATGTTTGGGTAAAGGTAATCAGACTTTTCCATGAGCCACAAAAGCCTAAGTCTCAGGGACAGGTAGTTCTCCATTTCCTTCCTGAGAATAGCTCACGTTACTCTTTGGGCTCACAGTCCTTCTCCACCTTCCCCGTGTTTTAGGATTCCATCTGCCCTCCGCAGCCCTCCCCGCCTCTTCAGGCCGCATGTGAAAGCCAGCCAGCCCTCCTCACCCACCAGCTGCAGAGGTAAGGCATCCATCGCTTTGCTTCATGCCTAAGCCATTGTCTCTCTAGCCTGACTCATAGGGGAGATTCTGACTGACTTTAGCTTCCATCTTGGAAGAAACTATTTGAAGAGCAGAGAAGCCAGTTTAAATCCCAGCAGCCTCCCTGGCATCCTGGCTTCCTGTGCCACTTCACTATCTCAGCCACATGAACAAAGTCATGTGACATCTAATACAGGAGCCAGACACAGGCCCGCAGGCTCTGCCTCTTTGTCGGGAAAGTCCAGTAACATAATTCGTGGGTAGGTTGTAAGGAGGCTGTGGTGGGCAGATCTTGTATGTTTTTCTAGCCTGGAGGCTTATCAGCACTAAAAACATAGTTTCTGCTGAGGTGGATCCTATGACTGAAGCTCACTTCAAGGTTCTGGTGGCACCTTGGGGATTTATTTACCTGGTTTTGTGTGTTTTTTAAGGTTAAGGATTCAGCCTTCAAGCCCACCCCCCAACCACCCCAACAACCACCTCTTCAGACAGCCCAGTAGCAGCCCTCCCCCGATGAGTGTGGGCCAGCCCCATGGTGAGTGCCGGCAGCCGGCCTGAGCCGGTGAGCCACGTGTAGCAAATGGATCCCAGTGTGAATGCCACGCGCTGTTGACTGGAATGGCAGAATAGCAGCATTTAAGGTGTGGGCTCTGGAGCCAGCCTGCCTTGGTTTGAATCCTTAGTGGTGACACCTGAGTCAAGTCACTTAATTTCAGCTTGCCTCGGCTTTCTCAAATGGAAAATAGGATTACTATTAGTATTTAATGAACAAACATATGCACTTGGAACAGCCTGGCACTACATAGCTCTCGGTAAGGATTAACTATTCGTATTTTTAATAAAACACCCTCCAACTCTACCAACTAAAAAGCTGCTGCCAGAGCCTTCCTTGTTGCCGGGCCTCTTGGTTTCTCCTCGTCCATGGGGACCCTCTCGTGGGTGTTTCGATGCAGGTGAACACGAGTGCACCCCAGCCAGAGGATCTTTGGAGATGAGCACTGTGAGGAGTTAATATTCCAAACTGGCGATCTCTTCAGTAGCGCCACACAGGCTGGGTCCCCTGAAGAGTCTGAACTCTGTTCTTCCTACTCAGAGCGGGGTTCCCTGACCAGCTGCATCAGCAGGAAAGGCAGAATCCTGGGCCCCATCCCAGAGCTGCTAGACCAGCATCTGCACTTTAGCAAGACCCCTGGGCCATTGGTGTGCACGTTAGAATTTGAGAAACACTGCTCTAAACAGAGCTACCCAAAGAACAATCCATGAACCAATTGTCTTTTTTTTTTAAATATGTTTTTATTGATTTCAGAGAGGAAGGTAGAGGAATTGAGAGAGAGCGAGAAATACAAACATCAATGACGAGAGAGAATCATCGATTGGCTGCCTCCTGTATACCCCACACTGGGGATCGAGCCTGCAACCCAGGCATGTGCCCTGACCAGGAATCAAACCCTGACCTCCTGGTTCATAAGTCAACGCTTAACCACTGAGCCACACTGGCCGGGTGATGGACCAAGTTTCAGGGCAACTTATTAAAAATACAGAGCCATGGGCCCCCTCCCTGACCTGCTGAATCAGGGGCCCAGGAGTCTGAACAGATGAACGCATGCACAGCGAAGTCTGAGGAGCAGAGCTGTGGGTGGCGTTAGGTCATCTGCAGCCAGCAGGCCACCTGGGCGTTTGGTCACTGAGGCTTCTCTCTCTCTAGGTGCTGCATCTCCCTCCCAGTTCCAGGGCTTACCCTCCCGCAGTGCAGTCTTCCCACAGCAGCCTGAGAACTGCTCTCCTCCTCCCAGCGTGGCGCTCACCTGCCTGGGCATGCAGCAGCCCACCCAGCCACAGCAGGTGACCATCCAAGTGCAGGAGCCTGGCAGTGTGCTCAGCAACATGCCGGGGGCAGCTGCAGGCTCCGTGGGGCGGGGCACCTCCATCAGCCCCAGTGCCAGTCAAATCCAGATGCAGCACCGTGCCAACCTGCTGGCCACCTTCAGCTACGGGCATCGGCCCTTGTCCAAGCAGCTGAGTGCTGACAGCGCAGAAGCCCACAGGTAAGGCTACCTAGGTCACCCAGTGAGCCATCCAGGTGACCCAGGAGCGGGGAGGGAGCAGGGAGGAATCTGGTGGTCGTGCTCCTTCCACTCCCTCTAAATCAGGGCGGTGGTTTTGGGGTGAACTTGAAACCTATTTATTGACCAAATAGGGGCTCAAAATGCTAATGAGACAGTGGAGGAAAATGACAAAGCTATCTTACTGTTATCTGCCAGGAAAAAAATGGCCTATTAGATAAAAGTGCCCCTTTCCCTTGTCTGTTCCCTGAGGGTTCCTTTCCCTCTCCCTCTCTCATATTCTGAAAGATTGGCGCTTCTTAGGAGCTCCGGTGATGTAAGATAGTTGCTCCCTTCAGCCTAGAGCTGGGCTGTCACACACACACTGCCCCAAGTCCGGGCGCCACTGGGTGAGTGATGCAGGGTGGTGCTGCACCCCCTTCCCTGTCACTCCGCAGTTCCCTGTCCGTGCACTCACTCCTGACAGGCGCCGTTTTCCGTTCTCTGGGGAGTAGAGTGCTCTTGTTACGTGGGTGCCTGGTACTCACTTGCTTTTGTGTCTGCAGCTTGAACGTGAATCGGTTCTCCCCTGCTAACTACGACCAGGCGCATTTACACCCTCATCTGTTTTCGGACCAGTCCCGGGGTTCCCCCAGCAGCTACAGCCCTTCAGCAGGAGTGGGGTTCCCTCCAGCCCACGCCCTGAAAGTCCCTCCACTTGACCAATTCCCCACCTTCCCTCCCAGTGCACATCAGCAGCCACCTCCCTATCCCACGTCAGCACTACAGCAGGCCCTGCTGTCCCCCACGCCGCCAGACTACACGAGACACCAGCAGGTACCCCACATCCTCCAAGGACTGCTCTCCCCCCGGCATTCGCTCGCAGGCCACTCGGACATTCGGCTGCCCCCAGCAGAGTTTGCACAGCTCATTAAGAGGCAGCAGCAGCAGCGACAGCAGCAGCAGCAGGAGTATCAAGAACTGTTTAGGCATATGAACCAGGGGGATGCTGGGAGTCTGGCTCCCAATCTTGCAGGACAGAGTATGACAGAGCACCAGGCTTTACCGTATCAAAATGCTGACTCGTATCACCACTGCCACACCAGCCCCCAGCATCTTCTGCAGATCAGAGCTCAAGAATGTATCTCCCAGGTTTCCTCAAACAGCCCTCCCCAGGGCTACGCTCAGCAGCCAGCACTCCCGCATCCCGAGAGCATGGAGGAGGAGTGCTCCTGCGTGGCAACCAAGGACGTCTTTCCAGACAGGCAGAGTTCAAGTGCATTGACCAAAGGTTGCCACGACAGCTCTCTCCTCTTGAGTACTGGTGGACCTGGGGACCCTGAGTCTTTACTAGGAACTGTGAGCCACGCACAGGAATTGGGGATACATCCATACCGACATCAGCCAACTGCTGCATTCAGTAGAAATAAGGTGACCAGCCGAGGTAAGAGTCCCTTCAAAGTAAAAGTTCTGGGCTAATCTGCCCCAATTCAATTAACTTAGTAATGTTATCTTTTTTCAGCTAGTACTCTGTTCCTAAGAGAAAAAGAATTCCTGAGAATACCTTCAGGACCTTTTGAGGGAGAAGCATGTAGGAAGTGGGTATTGGTGGGTAAGGAGTCATTTTCAAAATAAGACAGTGGTAGTATAGTCAGTGAGATATATTGTCTATTTTCCATATTCATACCATGTTTTTTAGCTTTTAGAATTTCTTGACTTCCTTCCAACTAGCCAACTTTAACTTCTGCAATAGAAAAAGTCAGCCAGTGGTAAGAAATAGGATTCAGTATAAATAGCATTGGACCAGGAGTCAAAGCACCTCGGTTCTGGACTTGCCTCTGCCACGAAACCATGACCTTGTCCCTTACACCCTCACGTGGTTATTCTCCTTCCCTGTGAGAAAGCGGCAGGAGGAGCGGTATTTGGGAAGTATTAAAACATGCATATATGTGCGTGTGCGTGTGCGTGTGCGTGTGCGTGGGGGGGGGGAGGCATTATTACTCTGATCATTTCATTAATAAATGCAGACTTTTACAGCATCTTAAGGGGCCATGTCATCTCATTTTGTCTCATTGTATAATGAATGCGTGCATTCATTTTTATTCTGAGGAAGATTAATATTACCATCAATAGGTTATGCTCAGAAAATGTTATTCCATTAGCATCGTAATATCCTAAACAAAATCTGGACCAATATCCATTCTATCATCACAGATCATGAAAAATGAGTTTGCCCATAAAATATACAATTCTGAAACCAAGCATTTCCTATATCCTTCCCTTCTTGGAGCTGCCTGCATCTCCAGTTCTGTCTTCTAAAGTCAGCACACAAAACTCGGCTCATAGGAGCATTAGGTCCCATGGCACATGGCAGGGGGAAGACCTGGCTCTACATTGTGTGTGGAAAGGCTTGGTGCCTCAGGTTGGCTCATAGGCACCAATAGGGAGGGACACATGGTTGCGTAAAACACCAGGTAAATCCGGGGCCTCTGAACAGTCTGATGCCATCCCGCCGAGAGGCGCCCCGGCCGGGCGGCTGCTGTGTGGAGGTGGTGCGGGGTTTCAGGCCAGGCCAGGCCGTATGTGGAATGGCTGACACACCTGGGGGTGTTCAGTATTGGGTGAAATAAGCTAAGGAGAGTGATCATACTCTCAGGCGGAAGAAGGGATTTGACTTTTGTGGGTTCATATTATGGGGCAGAACCAAGATTGAAAGAGAAGTCGCCGCAAATGTTAACTCCCTGGAAGACTGTGTAAGAACGTTCTCGCCTCAGCAGCCCGGAGCTTCCTGTCCCTGGGAGTGTTCAGGCAGGGAGGTGGTATGAGGGTGCTGCGGAAAAGCTTCCTGTGTGAGTGTAAACAAGCTTTTCTATAGGGTTTTCCGTGTGCCAGGCACCAGCAGCTACTCACATATAAATGAATTTAATCCTCCCAACAACCCTATCTTACCTAATAATAGACAAACATGCAAATTGACCACACCTTCGCTACGCCTTAAGCCACGCCCACCAGCCAATCAGAGCGACTATATGCAAATTAACCCAACCAAGATGGCGGCCAGCAGCCACAGAGCTGGAGCAAGCAGGAGGCTTGGTTGCCCCAATGATGGAGGAAGCCAAGCTTCCCGGCCGGCTCTGAGCTCCACTCAGCAACAAAGTTTCAATTATAGAAGGTAAATAAACCCCAGATACCTGCTTTCAGCCAGTCATGGCCACAGAGCTGGAGCGAGCAGTAGTGGGTTGCCCCTGGCAATGGAGGAAGCCAAGCTTCCCGGTCGGCTGCTGCCTCCTCTCAGGGCAACAAAGTTTCAATTATAGAAGGTAAATAAACCCCAGATACCTGCTTCCAGTTGCCATGGCCACGGAGCTGGAGCGAATAAAAAAAAAAAAGGAAAGGTTGGGAGCTTCGGTCGCCAGGGGGCTTGGTCAGTCTGAAAACAGCCATCAGCCCCTCACCCAGTCTGGCCAGGCACCCCAGCAGGGACCCCTACCCTGAAGGGGCTGTGGCCAGCCTGAAAACAACCATCAGCCCCTCACCCAGGCTGGCCAGACACCCCAGCGGGACCCCCACCCTGATCCGGGACACCCTTCAGGGCAAACCAGTCGGCCCCCACCCATGCACCAGGCCTCTATTCTATATAATAAAAGGGTAATATGCAAACTGACCCTAACAGCAGAACAACTGGGAATGACTGGTCACTATGACACACACTGACCACCAGGGGGCAGATCCTCAATGCAGGAGCTTCCCCCTGGTGGTGAGTGTGCTCCCACAGGGGGAGCTCTGCTCAGCCACAAGCCAGGCTGATGGCTGCCAGCACAGCGGTGGTGGTGGGAGCCTCTCCTGCCTCCTCAGCAGCACTAAAGATGTCTGACTGCAGCTTAGGTCTGCTCCCTGTTGGCAAGTGGACATCCCCCGAGGGCTACCGGGCTGCCAGAGGGATGTCTGACTGCCAGCTTGGGCCCGATCCCCCAGGGAGTGGGCCTAAGCCAGCAGGTGGACATCCTCTGAGGGGTCCCAGACTGCAAGAGGGCAGAGGCCAGGCTGAGGGGCCCCCCTGAGTGCACAAATTTTTGTGCTCCGGGCCTCTAGTATGATAATAACTCTCATCATCCCCATTGTATCAATGAGACAACTGAGGCACGGATTAAGTACTTTGCCCCCAAGGTCAACAACTAGTAGGTGGCATCTGAACCAGGCACCATCAGCTCACGGTAGTAGGTGCCTCCTGGCAGGGCCCGGGGAAGAGCAACGCTGGAGCTAACATGTGCACGCCCACTCCCCCACCCTAGATTGCCACGTATTAAACACCTTTTGAGATTTTTTTGTTCAAAAATTCCCTCTAATTTTCTTCATTTTCCCTCCGGTCTGACTCCTCCGTACAGAAAGGCTGGAGGGCTTGGGTTCACCTGTGCCCCATGACAGTCAGAGGAACCCCTTTCTTGGGCTTGCCTGTGTTGGTACCAGGTGCAGGTGTGGGAGTACGGGGCGGGGCAGAGTAGTTCCCAGCCAGAGGAACTAGTGCTCAGCCGGTAGTAAGGAAGCAGCATTTGAATTGGGTGTGATGGGTGAAGATGGCTTTGCCATGGGTTTTGGGGAGAAGCATGAGGAAAGACCAGTGGGTGAGAGTGGTGCGGGGTGTCTTGAAGTGCAGTGCACATGAGGGAACTGGCAAAACTAAGGCAGAAGCTTCCTAAAATCCAGAGCAGGGTCCAGACCCAGCCACAGTGTGCCAGGAGGGAGTGGCGTCGTGCTCGGTTCTCCTGCCAGTTTAAATCCGCTGCCATCAGTCACCCCTCCTTCCGAATCTCAGGCCTGAGATCCAGGCTTGTAATTCTTGCGACGGATCTCTCCACCTTCTTTCCCTGCTGAGTCACTCTCATTACCTCTCCTGCCGCCTCCTCCCTACCTTCTCACATCTACCCCCATCTCCACCAATATCCCCCACAAACGCCTCTCCTGTTTCTGGGAGAGAGGAGAGACCAGCGGTGAGCGCATTCCGGCAGGTTTCAGCTCAGCACGCCCCTGTCCTCGGTGCCTCATGGGCAGCTTTGCAGGAATCTCCCTCCCCACCCCCCCCCACCCCACCCCGCCGCCCCAAGCCCTCTTTTGCTCAAATCTTTTCCTGATCTTTGGAGAGAGCTTTTCTAGAAGCTGCAGCCTTAGCTCCTGCCCGTGATTATAGGGGTTTTCTTCCTTCTTTCTACCCACTTACTTTTTAATGCTTAACAGACTATGACTTTTTCTGCTTAAATTAAAACAACGCCTTTTCTGAAATCTGCTCCTGGTTTGTGACTTTTGGATCCATATATACAATGATCTCTAACGAATAAAGCCACAGGTCATTGCTGTGTGTATTGGAATTCAGCATAGCAAGGAATGCACTAGAGAAGCTCATGGTCCAAGGAAGCCTGGTCTGCTTCGGAGTTAACACCCCTCGGGAGATGCCTGTCGTGTGTTTAAAAACACCCGCTGATCCTGGAAGTCCCCATTGTTCTTGCTGTGAACAGCACGAGCTCACTCTGAGGACAGACCTCTCCTCCCAGCCTTCACCTGTGTAGTTAGGGATGCTCAGCTAAACATCCCCAGAGAAGGAGCCTGGGATTGTGTTTGTAGCTGCTCTGCTCCGGGCTTCCACCTCAGCTGCTCATTTCTCTTCACAACCACCTGGGATGCCTGCTCTGGTTTCTTTGGCAACAGGACTGCTGAGGCTCCACAATCTCCCTGCTTCAGCCTGACATGATTCCTTCCATCCTTTTAAAAACGTGAGAGCTGTTTCACATCACCAAGAACTGGCAGACACTCTGCTGTCACTTCTGTCAGGAAAGGGTGCTGACCTCCCCTCCACCACCTGCAGGCCAGGAGGGAAGCTCACACTTGACCTGTTCACGCTTTGCACAGGGGAGATGCTTGCTGTTTCCTTTACTGATACCTCAACCTCTGCATAGTTACACGCTCGTCCCCAAGCACCTCATCTGTTGTTCCCATGCAGAGAAATGCAGCAAGACTGGAATGACTGGGCTGCGTGGGATGCAGGGGTGCAAAGCTGAAGAGCCTGCCCTCTGGGAGCTTAAACCTGGCGGGGGTGGGGGTGGGGGAGGGTAGACAGCTCCTAAACAGCTTCAACATGAAGTGCCACCAAGCGAGCTGTCAGAGGTGCAGTCGGTCCTGTGCCACGTGACAGCGTTTCGGTCAGCGGCGGACTAGTTACCTGATGGTGGTCCCAGTAGATTATAGTGGAGCCAAGAAGGCCCTATTGCCCAGTCAGGTTATCGCTGTCATATGTCCTAGCACAGTGCATTGCAAATTCAGCAAGTAACGTGGGCAGGTTGCAGCCTCGGAGCAGCAGGCTGAACCAGACAGTCCAGGTGCAGAGGAGGCTGTACGATCTAGGTTGCTGTAAGTGCACTCGATGTTCCCACGACAAAAATCACCTACCGACAGGCTTCTCAGAACGTATTCCTGTTGTTAAGCAAAGCATGACTGGGATTATCATAAAGCAGATCGAGGGTGATCTTTCTAAAATAAGTCTGAAGTGTAGGTGAACAGGGATCCCTGGGTAGTTGAGGAGAATTAAATGCCCTCCTATCAGTGTCTGTGGGCACCTGTTTCCTTCGTGTCTGCTTGCTGCCAGTCAGTGTGAAGCTAGGCGCTGCGGGGCACCGAGCAGGCAGCGAGCGGAAGGCTGGTTTGAATGCCCCATGCTGCCCATAGTCTCCCTAACTGCCATCTAGAAATAGAATGTAGGCTTATCTTCTATACTTGATTTTTTTCTTTCCTTTGCAAATAAATAAACAATACAGCAGTGCACACAGTGCGCTTACCAACTTGAACTTGCAGAGAAAACCACTTCCCCTTCTGCCCGGCCAGCCGTGCAGTGTCGGGGCCCGGCCCCTTGGGGGAAAGGGCACGTTCTAAATGCACCTCAGAACCTTTAAGAGCATGCACGCATGCATCCCTCCCCTTTCCTGCAACAGTGAGTGACTCAGGACAAGTCAATATTGAAGGGTCAGAAGCCTTGTGCAAGCCGCGGGAGCCCCCAGCGGGGCGTGTGCACTGTGTTCCTGTGTGCTTTCTCCTTGCGTAACCAGGTGCGCGTGCCTCCCTGTACTCGCAGCTTCACTGGGTCAGCACCCGAGAATGCTGCTCCCAGACGTCCTCTTGCCCCAGTATCTGTAGAGCCTTTGGTGAGCTTGACAGCTCCTCTCGGTGCTGAGTTGGCATAAAGGATGCCAACGCTTTGAGCCTGAATCTCGTGCCTCTTGGTCAGTGGGTCACTCTGTGTGCGCCTTGACCCACCCACAGCTGCTTAGTAGGTCTCCTCCTAGACCAGCGGTTCTCAACCTGTGGGTCACGACCCCTTTGGGAGTCGAACGACCCTTTCACAGGGGTCACCTAAATACATCCTGCATATCAGATATTTACATTACGATTCATAACAGTAGCAACATTACAGTTATGAAGTAGCAACGAAAATAATTTTATGGTTGGGGGTCACCACAACATGAGGAACTGTGTTAAAGGGTCGCGGCATTAGAAAGGTTGAGAACCACTGCCCTAGCCTAATCTTCTCTCCTTCTTGCCTCCCCGCCTCCCATTCTACACCCTCTATAAGCAGCCCTGCCAGGCAGTAGATGCTAGGCCTTCCGGACCTTCGACCCATGGGTTAGATTGAAATTTGAGTGGACAACACCCTGGTTTGTTACCCAACTCCGGTGTCATCTAGTTTTTAACTTCTATTTGTCTCTGCTAAACCAGAAGCCCCTTCTCTGGAAATTAAAGCTTCAGTAACTCATTTGTTCACTTCTACATGGGGAAATTGTCTCCGTAATTGTAGAAGTAGGTTTCTGTGATAAATCAGTTTCTTTGTTTTTGTCAACTGGCGCAATAAGCCCTTTCCCCTCCGAACTAAGGTCCCTGAAATGAGTGTGAGTAACGCGGTCTTCACAGCTCTGCACTTACATGCCTGGGGAGCTGAGGCCCACACCTCAGGACCCAGTGAAGGCAGGGCTCCAGCCGCGGCTTCCTACCCCAGAGCTTGTGCTCATGAGCTCTGGGCTGGGGAGTCCAGAGGGCTTGTCGCCTGCTTCGTCAAGCACTAGCTCTGTCTCGGTGGCATTCGGGTATGTTGGCACCGGACCTGAAGGCTAGGAAGACAGCAGATGAGGAGGTAAGGGTCCATGCGATCTTCCAAAGGCAGGGCCAAAGGAGGGTGCATGCTTGGGTTTGTAGGAACCTCATTTTCAGGAATAAAAATAAATTCAAAAGAAGGGAGGGGGGAGAGGGGAGACTTAGCACACACATCAGACAGACAAACACTGAGGCCTCTGGAAGCGGGCGGAGTGGGGGGGAGGGGCGGAGCTGAGTATCAAGAAGCAGGGCTTACACATCTCGTGTGTGACAAGGACCCTTCAGAGATCTTTAAGGGAGAGCTCTGTGTTTGTCTGTGTGGGGACAGAGGTGCCACAGATGAGATTTGCATTCAATTCTATGAAAAAGAACCCCGAGGGACTGAATGGGTGGTGCTAGCGACCAAAGACGAGAGTGCAGGCATCAGAAAATATTCTGATCTCTGGCCGGTGTGCTCAGTTGTTAGGGAGTTGGGCCGAGAACCAAAGGGTCGTGGCTTCAATTCCTGGTCAAGGGCATGTACCTGGGTTGTAGGTTCGATCCCCGGCCCTAATAGGGGTGCATGCAGGAGGCAACTGATGGATGTGTCGCACATCAATGTTTCTCTCCCCCACCCCTCTCTCTCTCTCCCTGTCTTCCTACTTCCCCCACACACACACTCTCTCTAAAAACCAATGAAACAAATGAGGATTAACAAAAAAAAGAAAATACCTTGAGAAGGTAAGAAGCAGCTGTCTGTGTAGCCTCTTGGCAGGGCAGACCAGAGAGCCAGTTCCTCGCTCCACAAGCCATCGCTGCGCCACTTCCTGCCACTTCCTGGGGCCAGCACGTGAGCTGTGCCCCTGAGGAACTGGGCGGTGGGAGGATGGGGAGCGCGTCCTGGTGTAGGCTCTCTATCTTCCCCCCTCTGCTGGCTTTTAGCATTCAGTAGTGAAAGAGCTGACGTCTGGCTATTCCTCTGACCTCTTTGCTCACAGAACTTTCAGGAGGTTTCTCACTTGTTTTCACCTTTGGTAATTGAGAAGCTCGCCCTCCTTGTTTGTGTCCAGAATCTCTTGCGTTAGCATCCACGTGCATGCCAGTTAGTTCCCCTCCCTCCCCATTCTGCCTGAGCCCCTAAGCCCAGGCCTGACCTTGATCGCTATAGGAGACCATTCCAGTAGAGACCTGGCCCTTCACCCAGCACTTAACAGGACGCTTCACTTTCATTATTTGAGTAGTTATTGGAATGGTACAGACAGCATTAGGGCTGTTTCCTATGTAAAACTTTTTAAAACCTAGTCTTGCCAGGGTACAGTTCATCAGGAGCTACGTGCCAAAGAGCTTTAACCCAAAGAAAACAACCAAGCGAACAAAACCTGCTCAAGCGCCGGACCCTTAAGGATGGAGCCAAAAGTGCCACCAGGAGGGTCTGTCACCTTCCCTGGAGTTTGTCTGTGTTTGTCTGTGTGGGGACAGAGGTGACGGATGAGAGCTTCCCTGGTCACGAAGGAATATGCCTCCTCTTCCTTTCCAAATCCCAGTTCACCGGGATTATGACCCTGACAGGACCGTAACCCGGGTTAAGAGAGCATTTATTAACGCCAGCCAAGGAGGAAATTACTAAATACCTACTGGGTGAGAACAGGTCTGGGCCAGGAGGCTCCCAGGCAGGCATAAGATACAGTTCTTGTCCTCAGAGAACTCACGGTCCTAGTGACTGATGGAGACAAGTCACAGCTGAACCTGGTGCCAGGACTTAGGTTAGAGTACTCAGAGTTTAGTAGAGTCTTCTGACACTTGAAGGAAGAAAGGACCAACTTCTGTTTGAAGGGGGAGATTTCACAGAGATGCTAACATCTGAGACAGATGAGATGGGAGGGCGAGTTGACCTGGATGGCAGGGAGGGAAGTGGAAGAACCCAGCATTCCAGGGGGAGGAGCAGCGGGAGCAAACGCGTGGAGCTGTGAACGGTGGGAAGTGTTAGGTGGTCCCGTGTGACTAGACTTAGAGTGACAGGGAGGGTAGTGTGCTCACTGGAAGATGGGCTGGAAGGCGTGAAAATGAGGTGTTCCGGCTGCCCTTGAGAAAGTCGTCTATATAGGCTCGTGGCAGAGGGTGGCTAAGAGGCTGTGGTAGAAACACAGGCAAGAGGGCTTCGAAGGAAGCAGTGTGATTGGAAAGAAAGGGGCTGCCCTGGCCGACGCTGCAGAGGTAGGTCCTTTACCCTTACGCCGCCGTGGAACCAGGAGTGAGGAAGCATGGAGCTCACACCCCGGTCAGGAGAACGGGCACAGAACACAGGTCTCTGAAAGGGGAGCTGGTTGTGGGGATGAGACACTGAAGGGTGCGGTGTTTGCTGGATGTCCAGTAAGTAGTTGGAGCTGTGGCTCTGGCGCCTGCAGGGGCACCAGTGGTTCTTAGCACAGAGGCAGTGCTGGTGAAGCCGTGAAAACAGATGGTATTGCAGAGTACGTGTGGGTCATGGGTAGGAGTGGAAAGAATAGAGGAGCGATCGAAGGGTTGGGAGCAGCAGTTTGAGAGGCAGAGGAGAGGACGGGGTGTGCACTGAGCGGGAGTCAGCGAAGTGAAGGGGAGATGGCGCCCACAGAATGGCCCTGCTCCCCATAGAGGGTCCGAGGCTCCAGGAATGCTCTCATGTGCGTGTAGGTTTGAGAGCAGCACTGTCAACAGAAATGAAGACAAAGTCAAGGTTCGGTGTGACCAAACGCCAGCATGTGGGGTTGTCTCCTCCGTAAGGAGGCCCGTGCTGGCCGCGGGACTCGGGTGGGAGGGCTGGTCCGGCTCCTTCCCGCGCCAGGCCCAGCGGCCAGGGGAGCAGTCAGCGCACATGCGGGCCTCCCGCTGCCTGGTCCCTGCAGGACGTTTTGACAGGCGTCCCAGTGCTGGAGGGACGAGAGGTCTGCTGACCTGTTGGCTCTGTCTCCTCAGAGTCTGTCAGAGGGAGCTGCGTGGAGGGAAGCTCTCCAGGACCAGCCATGGAGCTGCCAGATCATAATGAGCTTGGGTTCCCGGCACGCCCCCCGGGTGGCGAGCACCACAGGCCCCGGACGCTGCAGAGACACCACACGATCCAGAACAGCGACGATGCCTATGTATGTTGGTCCCCAACTGCTGCCAACTTGAAAGCAGAACTTAGTCCTATGGGTGCACCCCCACTCCCGCTTCGCTTCCTCCCAGAGGCCACCTCTGCACCAGGGAAGCTGGTCTCTGAATCGCCCCAACAGCCAGGCCTTAATCCAGCAGAATCTGCATTCCAACTTCCTGCTGAGGAACCAGTAGCTGCCCTCTGTTCCCTGGTCTTGGTTATTAAACTTCTCCCCACACAGTCTAACCCAGGGATGGGCAAACTTTTTGACTCGAGGGCCACAATGGGTTCTTAAACTGGACCGGAGGGCCGGAACAAAAGCATGGATGGAGTGTTTGTGTGAACTAATATAAATTCAAAGTAAACATCATTACATAAAAGGGTACGGTCTTTTTTTTTTTTTTAGTTTTATTCATTTCAAACGGGCCGGATCCGGCCCGCGGGCCGTAGTTTGCCCATGGCTGGTCTGAACTCAAGCCCAGCAGATGAGCTCCAAGGCTCCTGGCTGGCTTGCTGGCAGCCACGAACTCGCTCCTCCCGGCACCCTTGGCTCAGCGAGGCTGGGCTCTCCCAGGCAGTGCATGGCAGCATGTAGTGCAGGAGCAACTTCCCTGCAGCCAGGCCTGGTCAGATGTGATTAAAATGAAGTTACACCGTAGTTCCTCTGTCACTGCAGTCACCTCGGGTGCTTGGTAGCCCTGTGGCTGGTGTGGGTGTTGGACAGCGTAGCGGGACATCTGCCTCCGTGCTGTTGGACAGCACTGTCCTGAGTCAGACTCGGTGGTGGTGGTGATGGTGATAGGTCGAAACCTGGTTTGGGAAGCCATGTAGTGTGGGGGTCCTGCCCTCCCACAACCCCCTCCCCAGGGTTGCTGCTGCAGCCTCCCCGCCATGGCGCTCAGAGGGCGGGGTCTGGGGTGCTGCTGGTGGGAGGGGGGGCTCTCTGAGGCCACTGTGTGTGGCGTCCTTACTCCTTTTGCTGTCGCTCCTGCAGGTGCAGCTGGACGACTTGCCCGGGATGAGCCTCGTGGCTGGGAAAGCGCTGAGTTCTGCCCGCATGTCCGATGCCGTCCTCAGCCAGGCCTCGCTCACGGGGAGCCAGCAGCTCCCGGGCCGGGAGGATGAGGGTAAGGAGCCTGGCACGGGTGGTGCCGTCTGCCCAGTGACTGCTCCCCTCTTCTGCACGGAGTTCTGGGACCCAGAGGGTTCTGGGCACGACGCCCTTCCCACGCCCCACGCCCCACGCCCCACGCCCACTCCCAAGCGCGAGTGGATAGAGGAGCGCGTCTCCTGGCTGCGTGCAGGTGCCACAGCCCCTTTCCGATGCTGTCAGGACGCTCCTCCCACAGCTGCTTCTCTGGTTCTGGTAGCAGTGCTGTGTGTGGATGGAACGTGCCTGCCTTTCCTTGGAAGCAGCCAGGGGGCATCATAGCAGGTGAGAGGCCTGGAGTGGACGGGCCTGCGGTCAATCCTGACTCGCCTTCACGGGCTGCCCTGCCCGCTGCGTCCCGAGGCAGAGACACTGTGCGGTGGGCCCTCTGCCCTCGGAGCGCCCAGTGACCAGTGTCTGCGGCACCAGGGTCTCGCCTGACGGAGAAGGCTCTCGCGGAAGGAGCAGTGCTCTGCCTCCCCCCACATGGAGCCCACAGGGCTCCGCGGGGACAGGCCAGGCCAGGACAGGAGGCTGCAGACGCTGAGCGCACCGCGGGCTGCTGGGAGCTGGGGTTCAGGCTGCGAGTCAGGTCGCAGTGCTCAGACCTCTCTTCCTCCTCCTCTCCCTCCCTCCTGCCCCCCACCCCCCAGTGCCCTGCAAATCTCACATGTTCTTTCTGGTCCTCAGAATGTGGGGAGAGGTTAGGCCATGAGCACCTGGACCTGACTGACGGCCAGCATTTGAGCTCTTGCTACCCATCCACGTGTATAACAGACATCCTGCTCAGCTACAAGCACCCCGAGGTCTCCTTCAGCATGGAGCAGGCCGGCGTGTAACGGGAACCCACGGTGCGTATGGCCCGGCCCCATCTGGTCAGGAGACGCTTGCACAAGCTCCACACGCCTGCTCCCTCCTGGCCTTCCAGCGCCCTGCTCTCCCTTGGGCGCTGTGCTAGTCCTTCTGCGGTGCGAGTAGGTGCAGACAGGGGCGATGCGGCCAGGGCTCCCTGTGTAATGAGGGGAGAGACACATGTGTTGTAATTGTAGGAGCTGTCGCAGCTCCACAGAGACCAGGAGCAAGCGAGCTTTGAAGGACGGGCGCACCTAGGGCCAGAGTAATAAGGAGGTGGTCCTTGAACTCAGTCCTGGAAGGTGAAGCCCAGCAAGAAAACACATCCAGCCACGGGTTTAAGGCTGCGCTGCAATGGCAGAATATTCTGGACAGGGAAGTCGGTGGTCAGAGACCCCTGGTGAAGGGTGAACTGGCCGGGCTGGTCATGCCTCACCGAGCACGGCAGGCAGTGTGGGCTCTTTGGAAACTGATAGAAAAGACTTGATGGCCGTTTGGCCGTCTGGCAAATCCCCATTAGAGCCTCGATATGGCAGACCCCTGAGAACCCAAGCTAAAGGGAACCAGTCCCTGTTTTACTGGCCTCGGCCATATAACCAGTGTCGTGGCTGGGCACACCGTGGTTCTGACTA